CCAGCTATATGCTTTTCACATACTTTGATTGTAGCTTAACATTTTCGTTGTTTTTAATGGTGTGTGTGCATATGTGTTTATGTGTGTGTGTGTGTGTGACAGAGAATTACTCTCCATTTGTCCTTCAGATATTTTTTTCTGCCTCATTCTTATTTCTCTATTTTTAAAACTCCACAGGTTATCTTAGTTACTTGGATATTGTTCAATTGATACATGAGACTTCTTTAATTTTTTAAGTGTTTTGTCGTTAGCCTTCAACTAAATGTCTGAATTAGTTTGGTCTCCATTAGGTGTAGGTCACATCTTGTGTTTTTATATGTCTACTAATTTTTTAATTATGTTGTAGACACTGTGAGTAATAGACTGTAAACATCTTGAGATTCTGTTTTATTTCCATGAAAAGAGCTTGTGATAATGGTGGTAGTACCAGTATGTGTGTCTTATGTGTTTAACAGAGGATTTGCTCTTGTAATTTAATCTTCCAGTTTCTGTCTGGTTTTGATCAATCTTTAGTACTACTTTTGTGTACTTACTTTTATTATTTGTTATACATAAGCTTTTATGTACATTGAGTACAATGTAAATTGTGTGCCATTACAAGTAATAGAACTATACCAAGATATAATTTTATAATCAATACTAAGAAAATTCAGATTTCAGCCTCTGGTTTTGTCTTTCACTCACAAAATAGCAGAGCTCATTGTTTATTTGTTAAGGGAAAATCTGACTGGTAAGGAATTGCTGTGTTGTAAAACAGTTTTAAAGCACTTCAGTTTCAGTACTCCCAACTAGTAATTACTCTCCCCTAGTAACTAAAACTAGGAGAACAACCCCTCTTCTGTGGCTGTACTTTCCAAAATATGTAAGGAGTTTTAATTATCCTATTATTATTATATATAACAAAGTTATTCTTTTTAAGTTTTTTGAATTTTTTTCTCTTAAATTTTTACATTTCCTTCTTTGTGTTGTTGAAAACTATTAAATTTGAGGTGTATTACAACAAAATTCTGGATTAAAGTTTTATCTGGATTCTCCCAAATTCTAAATTAGTGCCATCAAAATACATATCCCATTTCAAGGTCGCAGATTATTTCTGCCCCTGTTCATGCAAATCTTTGTATATTCAGACTACTACTGTACTTTTTTTTCTCTAACTGGAGACTTGAGCTACTTCATGCTACAGTTTATTGCATGGGAAATAATAGTCTTCAAGATAACATAATTACAGTTAGAATGGAGGAATAAATTTTAAGCCACCTTTTGTACAGTGAGATGAATACTGTTAATAACAACCTATTGTACTCTTGAAAAATGTGACACATGTTAATATGTAGTCTCACTAAAAAAAAGAGAATACTATATAAAGCAATACTTTATTAGCCAAATTTAATTTTTCTATAATTTTTATACTTTAAAATATCCTATCTGATATGTTAAACAATATACAGTATTGCCTACTTAAAACAGTAAGTAAAACTAATTGAGAAATAAAATAATGAAATCCCTTCTTATATATCAGCTGTGAATGCTAGAAACAATGAGGTTTGGTGGATACCCATGTCTATAATTAGTAACCTTGGGAATATCCTTTATCTTAATTCTTACCTGAACACAGAAGAAGGACTGGGAAAATTCAGATCTTATTTTTAAATAAATTCTCCGGTTTCTTTTTTCCTTTAAAAAAACTGAAATTTTAAGTTGTTAGATTTTTAAGTACTGTCATCTTGGTTAAACTTTGAAATAACAAAGCTTACCATATTATAATTATATGTCATTTGGCTATGTATGGCCAACCATCTTAATAATAGACAACAAATAGGTAAATTTAATATTAATTTTCCACTAACAACTTTAAAGACTATTATAAAATGCTAGAGTCACTGCTAAATTAAAGCATTGCACTTAGGATAAATCTTTGAGGAGATTACAAGTCCATTGGTAAAGCACTGGATATAGGTAGAAGACATTTATTAAGGTTTACAAAAAAAAGGAATATAATCTTTTAAATCTAAAGATTTCCTTCCAAAGAGTTCAGTGAACAAACCAAGAAAAAGTAGGAATGCATATGGCAACTTCATTTATTACTATGTTAGCTAACACTAACATTAATTAGGGCAGATGGACTTGAAATTGGCAAAATGGAGAATCTATGATATCTTTTACAAAATTGAATTGTGGAAAGGAAAACGTGAGCCAATCATTTCCATGTGGTACAAATAACATCCACCAGGTAATTTCTCAGTGATTTTTCCATGATTCATATGGGCTCCTATAACAAAATGTTAGCAACTGGTTGCATTTCTCACATTCTGGATACTGGGAAATCCAAGATCAAGGCACTGGCAAGTCATTGTCTAGGGAAGGCCTACTTGCTGTTTCATGGTGCAGAGTGATAGCTTCACCCTGTTCACCCCATCACTTTCCAAAGATCCATTGTCCTGATATGTTTGGGGTGAGGATTTCAAGCTAAGAATTTGAGGAAAACACAAGATTGGGGCCATAACAGTTTCCTACTTCATTGTTCCCAAATGCTGTTTGATTGCCATGCAGTGATTCTAAAAGATTTTGACCAAAATGTTTTATAACAAACTTATTAGAGAATGTTCAAGAAAAGTTATTACCTTTAGTGATGATTGAGAATATAAATGAAAATTAAATCTAATTTTTAGGGATAAAGAATGAGTTTAACAGAATGCCACAGAGAAGAACACACTGGAAGAACTTCTCATTTTACTTTACTACACAGGATATTACCCTCCTAATGTCGTTCTCTCTTTATTTCCACTTAAGTTTCTATTAGAAAACTTACTCTTTAGATTTAAAACTCAGTTAAGGACTTGCATGCATAAAGAGAAAGTCTCATGCTCTTTTACAGCTATCTGTTATACTAGCAGGTGGATGTGTCTGTATTATTCACATTTATTTTGTAGACCTACAGTAGAGTCTTTGTACTCATATTCTAATATATGCCAACTGAAAAAAAATGGAATGAGAATTGAGAAAGCCATCAAAGAAACCTATGTATTCTATGTCAGTGCCAAAGTAAAAGAGTTAAGATAATCTAATCTGTGTTGTTGCGAGCACAGGAGGAACGTTATTTGGAGTGTTTCTGGAATGACAGTCTAGAATAGTTCCTATTCAGCTTATTTCATATTTCATTATCCCAATAAAAATATTCAAGATCTGCTTTTTTTGTATGTCTAGTTTAAATCTTATTCTGGGTTCAGCTTGGATAACTCTTGGGAATTTTAAAATTATTTTACTAGTTTGTAATAAGAAAAACATACACACAGCATACAAGTATATTTTAAGGTACAAAAGAATACATATGAGGGGCTGGGAATGTGGCTTAGAGGTAGAGTGCTTGTCTATCATGCATGAAGCCTTGGGTTCGATTCCTCAGTACCACATAAAACAAAAGCCATGTGTAGCTCAAGTGGTGGAGTGCTAGCTCAGGGACAGTGCCCAGGCCCTGAGTTCAAGACTCAGAACTGACCAAAAAAAAAAAAAAGACTGTATATGAAAAACCCACTTTCCCCATGAAAACAGCACTCTTTGGACATGTGTACCCTGATAGAGCTACCTTATGCATCGATGAGTATGTAATAGTTCTTTTTAACAGGTAGTAACTCTGGGCCATGTACATTTTTCTTCTACATTATATATCTTGGAACATTATAGAAGTACTAAAACAGCTTCAGGTGCAGTTGCCATAGTTTCTGTTTCTCTGAGGGGTTGATTCATGGATATTATTTTATTTAACCTAGTCCCTCATTGGTGAGCATTACTACCCATAGAATTATCTTCCCTAGAAAGAATTATGAGAGTTAAAAGTGTATATAGTATCAGAAAAAAATCATAGGTATAGTTATCAGGAAAACAAATGATATAAATTAGGTAACTACAAATGAATTCTAGACTGTAGTAATAGTAATGTGTAGATTGAATATTTCTTTCTCTTGATTATTTAGCTGCTAATGAACTAGCACGTGGTACTTAGTGTGCTTTAAAATAAACTGTCTTACATTTCAAGAACATGGAAATTTCATTCTCATCCTTATGTGAATAATGATGTAATAATAGTCCAATACTATTTATAGCTAACATGTGGCAGACACTGTTCTAAGTGGTTTCTATTTCATCTCATTTAATTTTCACAAAATCCTATAAAGTTATTATAATCATTATCATAATTTACAGATCAGGAAACTGAGGCCCAGAGATACTATATAATTTGCTAGAGCTGGCAACAGATAGGTCTGGGACCTAGAACCAACATAATTGAAAAGCCAGAACTTGTGTGCAAACCAGGAGACTAACTTTCTGGAAACCATGTAACATGTACATACATTTATATCTATCATATCTTAGGTTGTACTGTTATTATGCATAATATTTCTCTTTCTTTTGTCATTTTGGGCTTTCAAACATTCCTTTCAGTAAAGGAGATAGATTAAAAACAGAAAGCTTTTCTTTGTGCTTTATCCTAAGACACCTAGAAAATTGGGAACCAAATTAAATAGTCTTTGACAGTATCATAAATAAATATGTAGTGCTTTTCCATTTTCCCCTATAAATTCATGACCCTCGAGATATTTCAAATATATGCCTAGGAATCTCCCAAGAAACATTTATCATCATAAATGTTTAAATGTTTTTTAAAACAAGAGCTTCCTGTGGTTCTTTCAACAAGCTCCCATGGCACTTGTCATCAGCATGCAAGTAAGTGACTGTGTTCCCCTTACCTTGCCACAGAGGTTTAGGTGAAATACTGTGGGCATGAAGATTGCATTTGGTAGGCCTGCTAGGAAGGGTCGTGGAAAGGTCATCCTTGGTTTGTTCATGGAACTCTCTTTTACATACAGTAGATGGCAATGATGATGTTACATCCAAAGGGGAAAAATGGTCCATTTTATAAAGGTTTATTTTCCTGCTTTATACACTGTAGTCCTGTTGTGTGTTTTTGATTTAGTAACAGTTTATGTGTTTTTCTGTCACAGAGCACTGCGGCCTGTGGTGTTGAGGCTCACAGCGATGCCATCCAGCCCTGCCACATCAGAGAGGCCGTTCGACGCTACGGCCACAAGATTGGCCCCCTCTCCCCATTCACAGTACGTAATAACAGAGTTATAAGAAGTTATATTTATAATCTGAAAGAATTTTGATTTTCAAGTGGTCGAATGAAGAAGCAATGGAATTGTTGAAAGCAATTTGTGGCAGCCGTAATTTTGTTGTAGAAAAGTGGCATAATTCGCAAGGGAAATAAAAGTCATTTTTGTCTCTTTTTTTGGAAGGGTAAGTTTTTTTCTACAAAATATTATTTTCTTTCAATTACATATTAAACTTGTTTGTTGGAGCTGATATTTTCTATTTTCCAAAACTTAGGTTTATAAAACTTCATGTCAAATTATATGTATCCAAGTATTGCTAGAAGCATTTTATATTTTAAAATTGGTTAAACTGGCATTACCACTTCTATCAGATGTCCTCCTCCCAAACACACTTTGAGTTGGAAGAAGAAGAAATGATTTCTTTACTGCCTTTGAAGTAGGCTGAACTGCAGACCAGCTTTCACATCTTCAAATGATCTGAAAGCCTGTAATCAGGGTTTTGTTGTTTTAATGGAGAATTAAAGACTGGATATTTCAGCAGTCTGAAGAAAGTGTGTGTGTCTTCGTGTGTGTATATGTATATTAATTAAGTGTGCATCTTATAGCTACCCTTCAAAATAATTTTTACTAATATTAACAGAAGTTTCATAAAGTCTTTCTCTGTTTCTATGAAGTTAATTTGATATTTGGAAAGTAAGGTTTGGTTTACATAACAAAGGAGCAGTAAAATTGACTTTTTGGAGATATTTACTCTATTAATTTACTAATCCAGAATAACATTATTTATAAACAAGTAAGTAATAAATTATATTGTATACATTTTTACCTAGAAGAATGGAATTAGCTAATTTTTGTTTATACAAGTAGTGACTTCTTCTACATCAGGTTTTCTTTTTTTCCTTATATCTAAAGTCAATGTCTTTTCCTTTTTTATTCCTGTTAGTTATTGTGAATTCTGTGAATCTTCTATGTGATTTAAGAATGTGCTTTATATATGTCTCTAAAAGCTTTTCATAATGGTGACAGTCATTTTCACTTCTCGCAATGATTTTTTTCCGGTCCTGCCAATGGTCCCCAGGGCTTTGTAAACATACACTCAGCACAGATGCCTCTGCAGCCAGAGCATGATGTTAATACTACTGATGAAAGCAATACATACTTTTGCATAAGTATTTGTAGTCTTGTAACTAAAACAAAAGAATGAAATCAAGTGTTTTTTTCCAACTTGCTAGGTAAAGTTACTTTAGGCAATAAGCCAAAAGGACGGTAATATTTAAGAAAAATATGTGATAGTTGGAAGTAAAAAATTGAAAAGAGTCAGACCCAGAGACTTGTCAGTAATCCTAGCTATTCTAAAGGCTGAGATCAAGAAGATCACAGTTCAAGGTCAACCTCAGCAGAAAAGTTCAATATACTCCATCTCCAAAATAACCAACATGAAGCAGGGCCGGAGGCGTGCCTAGCAAGCATGAAGCCCTCAATTCAAACCGAGCACATAATTAAATAATTAAATCACAAAGAATAAAAGGAACTGGCTTATAAAAAAAAGGATTTAAGATTTAAAAGTATCAAATCCATAGATAAGAGACAAAGGATGACCAGCAAAATAAAGAGAGAAGAAAAAGAACTGTTAATTATCCAGAAACCTTTAAAAAAAATATAACAAAGAGAACAGGATTTTTGAGAAGTAACCTAAAATGTTGCCTTAAAATAGGATAACTTCATAATTAAGACTTCCTCAAAAAGAAGTGGTGCCTACTGTGTTGTTTTATTTTTATTTATTTTTTGCCAGTCCAGGGGCTTGAACTCACAGCCTGGGCACTGTCCCTGAGCTTCTTTTGCTCAGGGCTAGTACTTTACCACTTGAGCCACTTTTTCTGTTTATGTTGTACTGAGGAATCGAACCCAGGGCTTCATGCATGCTAGGCAAACACTTGACCACTAAGCCACATTCCCAGTCCTGAGTTCATTTTTAAATAGACTAGGCAATCACTGGAACCATCTTAGCTGATTATTTGTACATTATTATGTTCATGTCTGTGCATTTATACGTCATACTTGGTATTCATGTATTACTTTTACAATCTAGGAGCATCGTTGATGGTAAAAATGTACTTAAATCACAGGTTCAGATAGAACTTAAGCTAATTTTTAATCTAACAAACATATAGCCAATGTGCTTTTATAAGTCTTCAATACATCTGGAAAATAGAACAAATAGTCCCAGACATGTTATAGCCACCATTAGAGCAGACAAGCAAGCAGCAGAAGTGAAGATCCCCCCTTCAGGGCAGTACCCAAGGTTTTCCCATTCTTCAGCAAAGCCTCACCTGGAAGGTCTCCTGAATTACCTACAATTTTTCAGAACTTGCTCAGTCTTCAGGGTATAGTATTGCCTATTCCATGCTATATCATGAGCAACCTGGTTGAGTAGACACAGTTTCATGAAATATATTGCAATAGATAAGTCTGCCTTTGAAAATTAGGCACTCGTGGAGCTGGGATTGATTGACAGGCTGTGTATGGTAGCGGTAGTGGCCACTGCCCTGACTCCCTCAGACTTCCAGCTCCTAGAATTAGATGATAGTAAAACACGTTGATGCTAGAGGTTGCTATTGTTCAGTTCTGTAAGGTCTACCCTGATATTTGAGTTGTGTTTTAAGCTTCTGTGAAGCTTTGAGCTGCAGCTCACCTCAGTAGAGGAAATGTGGTCACTTCTCTAAAAACTGTAGATTGAGACTTCAACTTTCATGCAGGAAAGTTGAGCTGACCTACTTCCAACATAAAATTTTCTGTGAAAGTTAAAGTGCTAAAGAACAGTCTTTCCTGTTACACATTTCGTAGTAATAGTATATTTTTGCTTTGTTTTATATTTGATAACTGATGGTGCTGAACATTTTATGGGCTAATAATTCATATTTCTTTGACTTTGGACTGTATCTATTTTTCTGTAAAGAACTAGTATATTTGTTATCAATATGCTAGTTTATACCAAAAAGTTGGTAATTTTTTTTAGGTTTTTTTTTTTAATTTTATTTGTGAACATACTGTACAGAGGGGTTACCATTGCATGGGCAGGATAATGTGTACATTTCTTACCAAGCATTGCATCCTCCTCCTTTG